TGAAGACTGTGTGGGTGTTGTGGTGTTAGTGGGAGGTGAAGACTGTGTGTGTGTCGTGGTGTTAGTGGGAGGTGAAGACTGTGTGGTTGTTGTGGTGTTAGTGGAGGTGAAGACTGTGTGGGGTGTTGTGGTGTTAGTGGGAGGTGAAGACTGTGTGGTGTGTCGTGGTGTTAGTGGGAGGTGAAGACTGTGTGGTGTGTTGTGGTGTTAGTGGGAGGTGAAGACTGTGTGGGTGTTGTGGTGTTAGTGGGAGGTGAAGGGCTGTGTGGTTTTGTCGTGGTGTTAGTGGGAGGTGAAGACTGTGTGGTGTGTTGTGGTGTTAGTGGGAGGTGAAGACTGTGTGGTGTGTTGGGTGTTAGTGGGAAGTGAAGACTGTGTGGTGTGTCGTGGTGTTAGTGGAAGGTGAAGACTGTGTGGTGTGTTGTGGTGTTTTGTGGGAAGTGAAGACTGTGTGGTGTGTTTGTGGTGTTAGTGGGAGGTAAGACTGTGTGGTGTGTTGTGGTGTTAGTGGGAGGTGAAGACTATGTGGTGTGTTGTGGTGTTAGTGGGAAGTGAAGAATGTGTGGTGTGTCGTGGGTGTTAGTGGGAGGTGAAGACTGTGTGGTGTGTTGTGGTGTTAGTGGGAAGTGAAGACTGTGTGGTGTGTTGTGGTGTTAGTGGGAGGTGAAGACTGTGTGGTGTTTTTGTGGTTTTAAATGGGAGGTGAAGACTGTGTGGTGTGTTGTGGTGTTAGTGGGAGGTGGGAAGGCTGTGTGGTGTGTTGTGGGTTATGGGAGGTGAAGACTGTGTGGTGTGTTGTGGTGTTAGTGGGAGGTGAAGACTGTGTGGGGTGTTGTGGTGTTAGTGGGAAGTGAAGACTGTGTGGTGTGTCGTGGTGTTAGTGGGAGGTGAAGACTGTGTGGTGGTCGTGGTGTTAGTGGGAGGTGAAGACTGTGTGGTGTGTTGGGGTGTTAGTGGGAGGTGAAGACTGTGTGGTGTGTCGTGGTGTTAGTGGGAGGTGAAAAACTGTGGTGGGGTTGTGGTGTTAGTGGGAGGTGAAAACTGTGGTTTGTTTGTGGTGTTAGTGGGAGGTGAAGACTAGCTTAGTGTTGTGGTGTTAGTGGGAGGTGAAGACTGTGGTTTGTTGTGGTGTTAGTGGGAGGTGAAGACTGTGTGATGTGTTGTGGGTGTTAGTGGGAGGGGAAGACTATGCTTAGTATTGTGGTGTTAGTGGGAGGTGAAGACTGGTGTGCTGTGGTGTTAGTGGGTGGTGAAGACTATGTGGTGTGTTGTGGTGTTTGTGGGAGGTGAAGACTGGTGTGTTGTGGTGTTAGTCGGAGGTGAAAACTGTGGTGTGTTGTGGTGTTTGTCGGAGGTGAAGACTGTGTTATGTGTTGTGTTGTTAGAGGATAGTGAAGACTATGTGGTGTGTTGTGGTGTTAGTCGGAGGTGAAGTCTGTGTGATGTGTTCTGGTGTTAGAGGATAGTGAAGACTATGTGGTGTGTTGTGGTGTTAGTCGGAGGTGAAGTCTGTGTGATGTGTTCTGGTGTTAGAGGATGGTGAAGACTATGTGGTGTGTTGTGGTGTTAGTCGGAGGTGAGGCCTGTGTGATGTGTTGTGGTGTTAGAGGATGGTGAAGACTATGTGGTGTGTTGTGGTGTTAGAGGTGAAGACTATGTGGTGTGTTGTGGTGTTAGTCGGAGGTGAAGTCTGTGTGATGTGTTGTGGTGTTAGAGGATAGTGAAGACTATGTGGTGTGTTGTGCACTATATGGGTCTCTTCTTGTGAGAAGTTATACTGGTAATCTCGTACCCTGAAATCTCTTGCTTCTCTGCTCTCCTCCCCTCCCTCCCTCTCCCCTCACATTTCTCTTCTATTCTCCACCTTCCCTTCCCTTTTCCCCTCGCCACTGCTTTCCACATCTCCCTCACTTCGACTGACCCCTTCTCACCTTCCCCTGCTTCCTCCCCTCCCCTCCCCTCCCCTCTCCTCCCCTCCCCTCCCCTCCCCTTACCATGATCGCTGGAGTGTGAGTAATCGTGTTAGTTCGTCACATAAGTGACTGACATCCTCGTCTACACTCGCCTCTTACTGATTTTATCCATCTGCCCAGGTCCGGCCCTCAGCCCCTAGCCACCGCCCGGCCCTCAGCCTCTAGCCCCGGCCCAGCCCTCATCCACAGCCCAAGCCCCCAGGCTCCAGCCCCAGCCCGCAGCCCAGCCTCAAGCCCTAGCCAACAGCCCTCAGGCACAGTCTCCAGCCTCACTTCTTAACCCCAGCCCTCAGTCCTGCCCCAGGCCCAGTGTCTTTATATATATGTATATATATATATTTTATATATATATATATATAATATATATATAATATATAAATATATATATATATATTATATATATATAAAAAATATATAAAATATATATATTAAATATATATATATATATATATATATATATATATATATTATATATATATATATATATATATATAAATATATTTTATATATTACATATACTGGCTGACACCTATATCCATCACAGTGTGGGGCGACAGGGAGGAGCTGCTGACCACAGGGAGGAGTACAAGATCGGCAAGTACATGGATATAAGCCAACAGTATCAATTTATCCCAGTGGGATCAGAGACCTTGGGATCATGGGGAAAAAATGCCACACGTTTCCTTAAAGAATTGGGTTCCAGACTCATCGACACCACCAGGGACCCGAGGGCAGCCACTTTCATGTTTTAGCGCCTCAGTGTGGCCATCCAGAGGGGAAATGCTTTCTGCATACTTGGCTTGCGTCCAGCCTCGGAGGAGCTGGAGGAAATTCATGATCTTTGATACATTGTGCCTTGAGTTTTCTCTGAGGTACGTTTATTGTCTTCTCTGAGGATGAGGGTCCCCATTCCAGCTATAGAGGTGGTACTTCCCTATATATAATATATAATATATGTATATATATATATATAATATATATATATATATTATATATATATATATATATATTATATATATATATATATATTTTATATATATATATATATATATATATATATTCGTGCCGAATATGTAAACTGGTCAATTAGCAAGAACTCATTTAAAATTAAGTCCTTTCTAAAATTTTCTCTTATACGTTTAAAGATATATTTTTTTCATTAATGTTAATGTAAAAAAATTTTAAAATTTTTCTCCAAAGAATCTTAGAAAACTTACCTAACCTTATTTTAACAAGAACAATTTATTTTAGCCTAACCCAACTAAATATATTTTAGATTTGTTTACAATAAATTTAATACTAAACACACACAGTGAAATATATTTTTTTTTGTTAGGTTCAGAATGATTTTGGCGAAATTATTGCATACACAAATTTTCGCTTGTCCTATATGGGAAGATGAGCGTTGCTATTTAAGCCAAGATCGCAAATTCTGCCTATTCGGCACGACATATATATATATATATATATATATATATATATATATATATATATATATATATATATATATATATATATATATATATATATATATATATATATATATACACATACACACATACACATGTATATATATTTCACTTCCAGCAGTGCCCTCAAGTTTTTCTTTCCCGTCTCTTGAGCAATCTCTCCCTGTCCACCCTATCATTTCCTGTAAGTATTTTGTACGTCGTTATCATATCACCCCTTCTATCCTCTAATGCCAACAGGCTTTGCTCACATAATTTCTCCTCATAGGTCATACCCTTCAGCTCCGGGACTAGACTCGTTGCTAACCTCTGCACTTTCTCCAGTTTCTTAACATTCCTGATCAGGCGTGGGGGCTCCACTTTGGCGCTGCGTAATCCATAATATGTGAATCATTAGTTTAGAAACCCGACAAGTTCGGTCCATCAAGACTGATGGACTGAACTGAGGGACTGGATACCTTAAACTCCTCATTTTCCACCCTTCTCTGCCTTGGACTGAAGAAACCACTGCGTGGCGAAACGTTTCCAGAATAAAGATACCAAAATGTTGCACCAGTGTCTCGCTCCAAAATATACCTGACTTACGTTGTAAAGCTTAGTTCTAACAGATGTCCGTTATCTGCACCAGCCATTCTGTACATACTTCAGGTGATATGCTCGGTATAGTGCTCACCCGGAGGTCCTCCGTGAGTGAGGTTTGTAACCTTTGCTTTGTGTGGTTGCAGGGGTCGATTTACACCCCCTGGCTTTGTATGTATTAGTGTATATGTACGTGTATGTGTGTATGTGTATGTATATATACGTGTATGTGAGTGCATATGTGTGTGTATATGTTTCCCTATATGTGTTTGTACTCACCTATTTATAGTTGCAAGGGTAGAGTCACAGTAAGTGTATGTGTGCGCGTGTGTGTATGTGAGAGGAGAGCAAAGATTTGGAAAGTAGAAGTATGTCAGTAGTCAGAGAGAGAGAGAGAGAGAGAGAGAGGAGAGAGAGAGAGAGAGAGAGAGAGAGAGAGAGAAGAGAGAGAGAGAGAGAGAGAGAGAGAGAGAGAGAGAGAGAGAGAGAGAGAGAGAGAGAGAAATGCTTTGAAATGAGCTGATGTAGGTAACAGCTCTTAGCTTGCCAATAAATTTAGCAATCCCTAACCTGTATATAGCTTGTCAACAAAGCTAGAGATCCTTAACCTAACCTTGTCAAACCCTGTGTAAAAAAAAAAAAAAAAAAAAAAAAGGCGTCTCTGTGCTACACGAGGTCAGGTCAGCGCTGTACCTCACCGCACCAGACAGCAGAGAGTGCAAAGTCCAGCAGAAATTTCTAACGCAATTAATTATTGGCCTTGAAGATTTGATGCGAATTGAAAAGAGGCTGTCACAGGCCATGGCAATAATACTAACATTTGTGTCCGTCAATAATAATGGTAAATTAGGACCCACGTATATCATATCAAAATAAAATCTAATCCACTGGAAAACACCAGTTTTTGAGTTGTTAAAGTCGATCTTAAGATTTATTCGCTAGTTATTTCAGAGATCAATATCCTTAAATGCATCAGTACCTGAAGTTTGAAGCCGATCAGACGTTGCATTGTCTGACGAGTCATTCACGATTCATATCATGAAAAAACAAACAAACCAGTATTTCCATTTTCTCAATTTATTCCGTAAAAGTAGAAAATTGGATCAAAAGTCAATGTAAAGTTTTATCTACTTAAATATCACCAGAGTTTAAGGTTTGAAGTCTATCAAAAGAGGCGTTTTCGAGTTATTTCTCGAAAAAAACTTGTTTGATAAAATTTGCAAATTAACACAAAGACAACACAAAGTCAAGGCGAAACTTCCTTTGAGAAAAACACATCAGGACGAAGAGTTTGATGTCGACCAGAAGATGCATTCTCAAGTAACTGCACATATTCCAACAGTTAAACGTTTATTAACTATGTAGTAAAATTTAAGAAATTTGCAGTTTGAAGATCCAGCAGTTACTGCGAGATTGATGCCACTCAGAAGATACCAAACCTGAGTGGTTGATGTTCCAGTGGTTGATGTTCCAGTGGTTGATGTTCCAGTGGTTGATGTTCCAGTGGTTGATGTTCCAGTGGTTGATGTTCCAGTGGTTGATGTTCCAGTGGTTGATGTTCCAGTGGTTGATGTTCCAGTGGTTGATGTTCCAGTGGTTGATGTTCCAGTGGTTGATGCTCCAGTGGTTGATGTTCCAGTGGTTGATATTCCAGTGGTTGATGTTCCAGTGGTTGATGTTCCAGTGGTTGATGTTCCAGTGGTTGATGTTCCAGTGGTTGATGTTCCAGTGGTTGATGTTGCAGTGGTTGATGTTCCAATGTGTTGACGACCTCGTATCTGGTGGCTCCTCCATCGATGCCAAACACATGTGCAACAGTTAGGTATCTTTATTCCGAAACGTTTCTCCTTACACAGTAGACTTCTTCAGTCGAGTACAGAAGAGTTGTCAGAAGCATCAGAGATCACATCTCTACTGCTTCTACTAACTCTTATGTACTCGACTGAAAAAGCCTACTCTGTAGACGAAATGTTTCGGAATAAAGATACCTAACTGTTGCACGTGTGTCTTACTTATCAACGTATCGGTATTGTATACCATTTTCACATTCATCAGCACTATCACTGAGCCAACATATTTCCCTCTTACCCCTCGCGTCTGTGGGTGGAACAGAAACCATCAGGACACTTCCATAAACTGATTTTTCCCTTCGCAGGAAATTCCAAGATGGGGGATAGAGAAACAACACTAAGTCGCCCTATACTAACGTGTTGCCCCCACGCGTCAGGTGGGTCACCGGAACAACACACCCACAAAGCATCCATTTATTTCTTAGTGTTATCCCCCGTGTCGGTCTGGCTTCACGATCAACGCAGACAAGAGCCCATCATTATTTTTTTTTAGCGTGGTTACCCCGGCATCGGGGAAGGGATGGGGATGGCGGGAGCGCCAGGGGAAAGAGAAAGCGAGGAGTCACGTCTGAGCATCATAACAGGTAGTGGGGCAGAGCTGAGTAACTTGTCAGGAGGCAAATGGCTACGTCAAGCCCAGGCGATTGGGATGAATGGCCCGCCAGGCTGGCACAGATTGTCTCCGTCACGCCCAGGACGAACGCGCAGCGAGAGCAGCAGCAGACCGAGGCAGGAGAAGCAGAGGACCCGGTGACGCAGAGAAGAAAGAATACGAAGATGGAGGAAACAGAGAAGAGGGAAGAGCATAAGACAAACAATGAAATGTGGAAACCTGAGTGGAGAAAGTGGAGAGAGGAAGAACGTCTATAAAGGTGATTAGGAGGAGACCAGACATCAGAACTGAGTTACAATAACCGAAGAAAAGTCGAAGAACACGAATAAAAACGAAAAGGTGAGTGGGTGAGCATGAGTGAGGGATGAGCGGCATCCTAGCTGAAGATAAGGGAGGGAGAACTTAATGATAAAGGTGGAAACAATGACTACAACATGAAAATGCTGAAGACATACATTCGTGTAAGGTAAGGAATGAGGAGCGGAGGGAAGAATGTATATAGCAGTAGGAGGCGGAGGAAGGAGGAAAGGGTGTAATGGGATAAAGGAAGAATGCAGGGGGAGGGGAGAGAAGGGAAAAACAGTAGAGGGAATGGAGGTCAGGTTAAGAATAGAGAACAAAAACACCTGAATGGAGGACTTGCTGGAGCTGGAATGAGGAAGAGATGGAGGAGAAGGGAAGATAAGAAAAGAAGAGGTTATAACGGCAGAGAGGAACGGAAAGAGGTGTCAAGAGAGCCTAGAGAACAGCCTGTGCTCTTAACCAGAGACATCATGACACTGTTGCAAAAACAGTCAAATGGGTGACTGTTGACGGAGCTTTGAACAATTGAAATTATGACTGTTTTTACATGAGCTGTGCACACTGGCTGCCCGTTTTCTGTTCCTGCTTCAGACTTTTTCATAATAATAATAATAATAATAATAATAATAATAATAATAATAATAATAATAATAATAATAATAATAATAATAATAATAGTAATAATAATAATAATAATAACAACAACAACAACAACAACAACAACAACAATAGTCTATAATTTTACAAGAACATGTATAAGGTATACAGACCATAGAAAACCCCTTGTTATGCAGAGCATTTCGGGCAAATTAGGTCAATTTTGTCTCCAGGATGCGACCCACACCAGTCGACTAATACCAAGGTGTCTATTTTACTGATGGGTTAACAGGGAGAGCAGGTGTCTTAAGGAAACACGTCCTAAGGTTTCCAGCCGTACCGGGGATCGACCCCCGGACCTCAGTGTGTGAGCTGAGTGCGCTATTATAACCCAACCTAGCCTAACCCAACGTAACTTAAGCTGCTCTAACCTAACCGAACCTAACTTAAAAATGGGCTGGTGGTAAGTGAACCTTGAGGAACTGAAGGAATGGTATGTGAACCTTGAGGAACGGAAAGGGTGGTAAGTGAACCTTGAGGAACAGAAGGGACGGTAAGTGAACCTTGAGGAACGGAAGGGATGGTAAGTGAACCTGGAGGAACGGAAGGGATGGTAAGTGAACCTTGAGGAACGGAAGGGATGGTAAGGGAACCTTGAGGAACGGAAGAGATAGTAAGTGAGCCTGGAGGAACGGAAGGGATGGTAAAAGAGCCTTGAGGAACGGAAGGGATGGTAAAAATCTACAGAAGGGTTTCCCAAACTGGGGTATTTCAGTGGGTACGAAAGTGTGCTATTATAATTCGTTATTTTCAGTGTCTTCAATATTTTTTTCTATTTGTTGTTCAGTATTTTATAGACAAACGTAAAGTTGCCAGAGACTGAGACAACCTACTTCGATAAAGTTGCCAGAGATTGAGACAACCTACTTCGGTAAAAGAAGTATTTGAGGGTAATACTTAAGCATACTAAACAATATTTTTCTGTAAAAAATATGATAAGTCCGTAGTAAACTTGTTCGGAATCACTTGTCTTTCATACGTAGCATAATTAAATCCAACTTACAAAACATAAAAGAGGAAGACTCAGAACTGATACATAACTTTCAATGTGGATGACACCTCAAGGGAGGTTCCTTGACGCTGGTGAGGGGCTCTTGATCTAGGGAATTGTATCTGTGCTCCGGTTCCCTGAATTGAGCCTGAATACCTTCTATCCCCCTCACATGCGCTGTATAATCCTACGGGTTTAGCGCTTCCCTGTGATCATAATAATAATAATAATAATCAATGTGGATGAGCTTCTAATTCCTGACAGCGTGAAAGAGGAATTTCTGGGTTTTGTGACTGTCTTAGTTGCTCTTGATGCTCAACCACAGACTAAATTCTGGTCACGGAGGAGCCAGTCACATCCCCTTGATGTCAAAACGGTCATAACAAGACTCTTTAACGTTTACCATAACGCACCTGACTGAGTATGGATTCTCAGTCCTGTGCATCATTAATTAAAAAGCAAATGTCGTGCTAGGCTGTTTGTGGAGGATGACCTCTGGGCGGCGGCTCTCTCAACAACATCACCCAGAATTAAGGTGCGTCTTGCTCTGAATAATCAGGTCACATACTTTCCTCACGCCGAGTTTCCCAGGAGCTAAAACAAATAAATATTTCACGACTTAATTATCTATTTACAGTTTATACCAAAATAGCCTCATTTAAAAAAATGTGTATGCTTTTTTAATATGAATATACTAATAATCTTTTTCGGAGAATTATTTTTTATCATTATGTTGCATATAGTTCTTCACACTCACAATTTATGTATAAATAAAGAGAGCTTTAATTTGACAAGTTTATCCATTTCCTATAGAAACTATATTGTTGTGCAGCGGAGGTCCGTATGCCCAGTATTTAGGAATATATTGTTTAATCTGTAGGTCTTTTTTTGAGTGTAGGAAGTTATTTTTCATAGATACGCAGTTGATAATGGAAAAGGTCGAGGGGGGGAAGGGGGTGCACGATCAACAGAGGTTTGGGGGACCGAAGGGTTAGAGGAACGGAAGGAAGAAAGGGGTGGTAAAAGATCCTAGAGGAATGGAAGGAAGAGGTGGTAAATAGATCCTATAGGAACGGAAAGGAGAGTTGACTTATTGCTTGTCATACAACCCCTACATCGTTGCTTAGTACACGATCCCTAAATAGAGAAATAACTATAGGATTTCATTCAACATATGCTCTTTCCTTCTAATCAGTGTCAACATTAAACACATACTAACAATATTAGGATTGATATAACCAAAATCAATAAAGTAACTGATACATGTAAAATTTTCTATTATTTGCGTCTCCAGGGGTAACGGTACAGCCAGGGAACTAACCAGAGCGAAGTACGACGCTGCGCTCGCCACTGCTAACCTCGTTTCTGGTAGGAAAAAACGGCAGATATGGATAACGTAAAGATAAACTTATCTGCCTGTATCATCTGAATCAAACTTCTAATTATTGGAAATCCTACAATCCTTTGAGTTTACTGATTTGAGCGCAGACGAGGAAAAAAATGTGTTTCTGTTGGAAAATACTGGAAGGATTCGTTTCAAATCAGCACACTGAAATAACCTCTTACAAGAATGGAACCTGAAGTTTAGCTGATAGTTTCGGGAGTCAGCG